GGGGGGGGGGGGGGGGGACGCGACAACGTCAACCGAAATTACGTATCGCGCACAGCCGAATCGTGCGCGACGGACCGAAAGAGTTAAATTAGACTTTGGCAAGCCGAGCGAGATGAGTCGCCGGCGAATTGCAGTAGATCCTAAATGCGAACGCCAGAGGCGTCTGCGCGACTCGCGTCTTCATCATCACGATCTCGCCGTTGATCCCTTACCTTCCAACCGGCGCTGCTGTTGTTGTCACCCTTGTCCTTGAAGTAGGGCACGTTCGTTACCATCCAATCGTAGATCTGCGACAACGTGAGCCGCTGATCGGGCGCGCTGGTGATCGCCTGAGTGATGAGATCGGCGTAACTCAGGTTGCCCCAGGCGTTCCTCCTGGACGAGTTCTTCTTCACCGGTAGAAGACCACCCTGGGCCAATTGGGTCTGATGGGGTGGCGTGCCGCCTTCGGCGCCCTCCTTGGCGGTCGGCGCATTGCCCTCCGCATATTCTTCAGGTCTCGGTAACGGCCATGTGTTGGATCTCGCACGAGTCTGCGGCTCAAAGCCGGTCTCTAGGTCCGGCGAATTGGAGAATTCGAAAGAGACTCCCTTCTTCTGTTGTTGTTGTTGCTGCTGTTGTTGCTGCAGCGACGGGATCAGCGAACCCGAGGCCGAGACCGGCACCGAATCCATCATGTTCAGCCCCGCTCCTCGAACTTGGGGTTCGCGATCGAACCGAGACGCGAGACGCGCGGGGAGTAGTCCGCTGTGGCCAGCGACGCTAGAGGGCAATCTGCGATCGGCAAGAACCTGCTCGCTCGCGCGCGCGAGAGGAGAACGACCCGAGTCGCGTTTTCGTCCCCGCACTATCACCAGACGCGAGCGTGCACGCGCGTTTTCATGTACGTCTGTATGCGTGGCACGTGTGTTTTGTGTATGCGTGTGTGTATGCGTGTGCGTGTAGGCGCGTGTGTACGACGGCCTTCGTACGTCCTCGCTTCGAGCGAAGGCTCACGGTAGCGCTCGTTTGCACCGGTTTCGGAGAGCGGTCGCACGCGTAACTCGCGTGTAACGCAATGTCGCTGCCTTTTCTCTTGATCTTTCTACTTCTTGACGTGTGTATATACGTATGTATATATATTTATGTATATATATATATATCGCTCTTTGCCGACACTGCAGTTCTTCAACACATCACCCACCAATCGACCGACCGATCGATCGATCGATCGATCGAACGCGGACTCGTTCGCGAAAAATTTGCACACGACACGATGACGCGATGCGACGCGACGCGGATGCGACGCGTTTGTCGGCGCTCACGCTCGCGAGAAACCAGCTTAAGATCGTCGGAGGATCGTCCGAATCGCGTGCGGTTGTCGGCGGCGGCGAACCAACTGAGGATTCTGCCCGGCGCCGTTCTGCGTGCCGAAAGAGCGCGAAGGCGAGAGCGAGACAGCCGGGGAAGGCGAGCGTGCCGACCAATGTGGAGGTGAAGGGCGGGGGAACAGATAGATGGAACGAGAAAGAGTGATAGAGGGAGGAGGAAGGGAAAGAGAGATAGACGAGGTCGGAGCGCGAGGCGGCGAAGCGGAACGGAGAGAGATGGAAGCACAAGAGAGTGAGGGAGATAGAGAGAAAGAGAGAGAGAGAGAGCGAGAGAGAGAAAGAGGGATACAGACAAGAGCTTGACGGTAGAAAGAGGGAGCAGACCACGTGGTCAAACTCAGTGTTTACAAGCCGTGCCGTCGGGGTCACGTGGCCATGTTTTGATAGGCACTTGGCCCGCTGCGCGGATAGATCTACGCACTCGTCGTGGCGTCGCGAAATTTGCGCGGCGGATGATTCTCCTCGTCGACGGTGACAACGACGGCGCTAGCGGCGGCGGCAGAGGCTGCACGATTTTCGGCGAGCGATGCCGCGTGAGCGACGAATCGTCGCGGTGACCTCTGCTGCCCTGGTTGCCCTCGGGAGACCGTACCCCCTGGTATCTCTCATCGATAAGACGGTATCCTCGTCGCCGGCGAACTGTCGCTCTGCGATCCTTGGATCGTTTTGCCGCGTTCGACTGGCTTGATCCCGCGCTTCTTCGGACACGCTTGGTCAGCACAGTTTATCACCTCCTCGTTGCTTCGTTTTCTAACGAAGACGGGAGACAGAGGAAGCAAGAGTGAAAATAAAGAGGAGAGATAGGCTGAGAGAGTATCAATTGTCACAGTACGCACGATGGAGACGCTCGCTTCGTGACTTATGAACTTTCAAATTTGAGAGAACAGCGAAAAGAAAGAATATACCTAGTCACTACGTGAGACTCGCCGGCAAGGCAGCGCGGCACATACTGACGGATTTCTCCGGCCGGCCCTCGGAGCAGACCGACCGACCGACCGAACGGAGCCGAGCCGCGAGAGGCGAATTCGCGGCGCCTGCTGTCGCGCCGAAGCGCAACGAGCGCGACCGATCGCCGGCGGCGTGACACAAAGAGTGCGAGGGAGACGCGCGCCGAGAGCGCGGAGTCGGCAGAGAGAGAAAGAGCAACGGCTGCACTCGCGGAGCGCGGGAGGAGGACGCACGGAGTGCATCGGAGGGTCCGGAGTGGCGTAGCTGGTGGGTGGCTCAGCGCCGTGGTGAGGGCAAAAGACGACCGCGTGGGGGGTGCGAACGGACAAGAAGTGGGGGGAAAGAGAGAGGGCTATCGGCGCTGGGTGCAACGGAGATGGCTATAAATTGCAACTTTGTGCAACGACGGGGGGAAGCGAAAGGGAGGCGGGTGAGCGGGCATGAGGAGCGCGAAGGAAAGAGGGAGTCGACGAAGAGGGGCGACGAAGAGACCAAGCGCGACCGGGAGACCGAAGAGAAAGGGGAGGAGATGGCGAAGGTGGAGGAAGAGGGCGAGGGAATGCGACGGAAGGAGGGAGACGGAGAGTGCAGCGTGCTCGCTGGATCTAACGGGTGGGCGGGGAAAGGGGTATATACGCTGTGCCCCCAGGGTTAGGCACCACACCGCGCGCAGAGTAGTGGGTTCACGATTCCGATTCGATTCTCTGATAATCGATTGTTTTTTACTTTTTTTTTGCAAAAGCATCGGTTCCACTAAGGTTGACTTTCATGATCATCTCGACGTGAGATTATCAATGATGGCAACCTTTCCGATTACATTTGTGAAGAAAATGCACTGCATTGATTAAAATCATAAATTTACATCATACAATAATATAAATTGTTTGTTACTTTGATGCAGTTACAAACTTTTAACAGTTATTGTAATATAAAAATATATTGTATATTAAAAATTTGACTCAGTCTCATTAAATGTTGCATATTATTTTCAGCAAATTTCGCTCTTGTTTTCCTATTTCTTTTGAATCACCATTTCGTCAGTCTACATATTCTTTGAACACGCCTTTTTCAAGAAGAATCAGCACGACAACGCCTGATGTGCGAATTGACAATGCAATTGTCAATAAATCAGAATTTGTTTATAAAGTTATGTGATGAAAATATTATTTCATATAAATATTGTAATCTTTTATACCTATACCCTTTTCTTGCCCAAACCTTCTTCTCATTATACCGCCGAACTTGCAATTCGCCGCGGCCGTCGGTACGATTCTTCCGGCTGAATTTTGCGGCAACCCTTTCAGCACTTTTTCGTGTGTCGCGCCACGACTTGTAGAATCCGAAGATTCCCAACGGCCGATCGAAATAGCTCGGCTGTTGTTTTCGGTCCGCGTACCTATCAAATACGCCCGGCACCCTCCCGAAAGAAGCTCCTCCGTCGCGGCTAAACATTCCTGGCTTCGTTCGGGCGCGCATTGTTGCATCGCGCGCATTCTTCTTAATCGAAATATCAGCCGAGAAAGATGGGCGCTACCCGGTCGTCTTTCGCGCTTTCGGACTCGAATGTCTCGGTTCCGCGGGGAGTGAAGTATCTTCTCGCGTTTACTTTGAAATCACACGCGAGAATTCCAAAGAAGAGGAACGTATAAAAATGGATTCAGAAATACAAGATATTTCGCCTATCCGAATTATATTTAACGAGAGCCAATCATTCGGAGTGAAACTTTTTTCCGTGTACTTCCGTGAGAGTTAACGTGCAAAATTACACACCTGCTGATACGAAGTAGATAAACGCTTATCCGTGTCCCCCCACGGAATTTTCAAGCATCTCAAAGTCCTCGAACACAAGAAGTGAGTCTTAAATATAATTTCGGCCCTATAAAAATGTTCTGCGTTTCAGAACGAAGTAGATATCAGCACGATGTTACGGAGAAGACACGCGAGTTGCAGATAGCCGCGACTTTTTCCGAACCCGTCCGCGATTACTTTCGACTTGCGATTTGCACGCGCTCCCGCTCCGCGAGAGTAGTTCCTGTTTGCCCGTGTGAGCGCGAAAGTAACGCCGATTAAATGCACTCTCTCTTTCTCTCTCCTTCTCTTCCACATCCTGTCACAACACATTCTTACGTCGTTCTTGCCGATCTTATTATACGTCGATTCGCGATGTTGTTAGGCCGAATAATTCGAGTCGAGCCACCGTAGGTATCCTGTCCTTCAATTCGGCCGTTGTCCGAGGTTTGTTGTTGACGTAAACCCCACGCCAGAGTTGTCCCCATAAAAAGAAGTCGGGTGCAGAAAGGGCAGGCAACCCGGCGATTGCAACCCGGTGAAACAAGAAACGACGCGGTGGCCAAACAACGTGCGCTCGCTTGTTCGCTCGCTCGCTCGCGCATACTCTCGTCTCGCCCTGTGTGGGCAGTTAAGGCGATTCTGGCTAACTTAAGGGTACCGTCAACAGCGTAATTATGCACCTGAAACCTTCGATTGTCCGGCCGGATATCACCGGCCACATTGCTCAATGTTGTTTGCCCGCGCATGGGGGCTAAAAACAGAATGCCGTAACGCACCGACCGTGTACGCGCGACGGTCGAACACGCGGGCCCCGGCTAAAAATAGAAGACGGATGGATCCCTTAAGGACTGCCCGATCGAGTAACCGCGCGAACAATTCCAAGCCGCTGCACTACGTTGGACCTCGGTATCGCGTGAGTCACACGTGGGCGCTACGATGGAAGCGTTCTTTCGTGATTCTCTTTCAGGACTTTCCTTTGTGCGACGCGCGACCTCTGCGGAATCGTTATTCGAAAACGAATGCGATCGTGACCGAGGTCAAGGTCAAGATCATGATAAAGTCTTGATGACTCTTCGGTTTTGATAACGGCAAGAAAGGACAGGACGATTATCAGGGTGACAGTGGAGTGACGGAAATTCCGGTGACTCAACAAAGTGATCGGCCGCTTTGACAGGCATATGATTAAGCCGCACACTGAGAGGAAGAGAAACGGTTGAAGTTATAGTTATTTTTGGCTCCAACCATATCTTTTGTAGTGAAATAGTAGCACACGTATGAAGCCATTATCGCTAACATTATAATAGAATTTAATAAAGAAATAGTTTCCTTGACTATAATTTTATGGTAATTGTTTCTCTACGCGATTATAATTGCAAATATCGAATATTTTTTTCACAGTACTCTCTTAAAATGAATCAGTGAAACATTACTGAAAACAGTGAATATATACTGATTCGCAGTTATAAGTGGTGCATTGAAAGTGCTCAGTGCTATACTTATAACTGATATAAGTGACTATTCACTGATTCACTTTAAAAGAGTACGGATCCCGGGAAATGCGCTCATAACGCGAGAGGTTTCGTCAATTGATTTATTGTCACTTTAACCTGATTATTGTCTACTCTGATCATCAAGCTAATGTAATGAAATGTGTCAGAAAATCGATAGTGCCTTTATGTCGATTATTGAATTGTTATAATCGATCGATTATTGAATTGTCGATTATTGAATTGTTATAATCGATCGAATCAATTTTGCAGCGTAAACTTACTATCTTTATAGTAATTTATATACACTGCAATTTCGGTATAGTCCAGCTCTTTACAAAAAAAAATCGTAATAATTTTAGCGTCACTTTTACTATAATATTTTCTTCGTTGAACGTCCCAAAGCGTAACGGCCTTCTCATCGCCTATTTATTGCATGCTCAAGCACAGTATATTTTCGAATATTGTTCAGCACAATTTAGCGGAATTATTCGATAAAATTTCACCGGCAAATGCGTCGAGCATGCAATAACAAGTTGACCAGCACGAACAAAAACGAGTGAGACAAGTACAATGGACTACGTTTCCATTTCGACTGTACCTTTTCATGGGCTCGTTTTCGATTCATGCCGATCCTTAGGCATGCATCAGCCTCGCAAAGAACTGAGATACGTGTCGGATAATAAAGAACCAGAGAACACGGTTTTAGCATCCTTAAGTAGCCCGCGGCCTAATCATTTTCGAGTTCAATCCTGATAAAGCCGGGTTGAGAAGGCACGCATATAAAGCACTCGCGCGCGCGAACTGTTTACAGCGAAAACAAAGTAACTCGGATTTTTTAATCTTTTTATTCACGTCGTTGCATCACAGCATAATCTTATCCTGCCGCAGATTTATCGCACCGTATTATCAACACTCGTTTCAAATACAGAGGGATTCTTTCCCCTCGATATCGAGTGTCGTCCGTGAACAAGAGATCGCATGAAAGTTAATTACAACTGTGCTGCTGCACTAAGATTCGAGATCAAATGTTTGGCGTTCCATGAAAAGCGTTTTACATTTCGATGCTGCTTAACGAAAAGTGAAGCGTCGCGTGAATATCGGACACATCCAAACGAAATCCCATCTGAGTCGAGCGAGAGGGATACGCACATATACATACATATACACACACAGCCGCCCGACATCTTCGAAATTTTCGACATCCGTCCTAGACCGCTATGGTCACGTACGAAATTCTTCGCAATCCAAGGAAATTAGGACTTTCTACGGCGCTTTTTACGGACAATCGCTTCTGCCGAAAGTAAATCCCGGGCGAGTCATCCCAGGGCGCTAGGCGCGAGACTTTATCGTGTGAAATTGCACATGCGGGGCGAATTAAGGCGTGATGGAGGCCCCGGCGCTGCCGGTAACCCTCGCCCATTAAGATCCGGCCGAAAGGAGGAGAGGTGAGGATAAGTTCGGACTATCAATTACACCAGCTCAATTCCGGCGCTTGCTTTACGCGGAATCGAGAGTCCGATCGTCTTGCGCCGGCTAAATTTGTTACGCTAACGAGCAGTGCGCCCTGCTACGTTGTGCGGTGTCGTAATGCAACTTTTTAGCGCGTTTATTTTTAACTCGGCCTATGGAAATAAATGCGAATCAAGATCTTCATTAAGTCGATCGGCGACGCGACTATCGCGAGTTGTGCACGAGGAAAATATTGTAGTAAAAATTACGCTGCGAGAAATTGTATGTTAGATTTAACATATCTCACATGTTCCAATTTATCCACTC